ACCTGTTCGGTCGCAGTCAGGGACCTGAGCTGCCCATCTTGTCGCCCCAGGCATTCGGCCCCTCCCTCAGCTCTGTACTTCCCTCACAAAGAAAATCCAGAAACTAAGGTATATCTGGACCCAAAACTCCAGTTCCATTCTCATATCTAGTGATTTATTGGGCCCAAGATATATCATGTTTACAGGCATGTTTTGTCACCTGATTACTTCTTTTTCTTTTTTTTTATTGTTGTTCAAGTACAGTTGTCTCCATTTTCCCCCACCACTCCCCCCAACCCCAGACATCCCCACCTCCCACCCTCGATCCTACCCCTCTTTGGCTTTGCCCCTGTGTCCTTTACACATGTTTCGGACAACCCTTCCCCTTTTCCCCGTTATCCCAGCCCTCACACTGAGGATTCTCCAGCCCTCTTGATGAAAACATTGCTAGCTATGGTTTCTGCTACAGTTTTTCAACTGTGCAGATTAAGTATGCTGTGGAAAGTAGGCTGAGCTTGTGTGCCTTTTGTGAAGCTAGAAGTAAAAACTCTTAAATGAAGCTTGTAATTATGCCTATTAAAACTGTGTTACATGACTGTTAGTCAAATAAACACACACACACACACACACACAAACTACTGAGAATTTTATCTCACATGTCCTGAAAAAATACCTTGACATTGGCAGCCACAGTTTGCTTTTCTAATCCTAAATACACATATACATACATACAACAGTAATGGACACAGTATAATTCAGGTTCCTAAAAATTATTCTCGACCTCTTTACTTTGATTGGGATAGAGGGCACAAACCATGTAGAAATTTCATTTCTTGGCTTGAATGTTTTCCGCATGCATAGCTTAGAGTTCAGCTGCCTCAGTCTGTGGCTCCAGAGATCACATGGGTAACATGTGAATGGAAATAAACCCTGTAGGTAAAAGAAAGAGGAATTTGGATAGAGATCAAAGATTAGCTTCATTCCATTCTCTCCTTCCACTTTTTACTATCCCATCTAAGTTTGGTATTTTATGGGCCTTTTTCTTTATTCCCAGAGGAAAGAGTGAATTTAAATCAGATTTGAGACTTTTGCACTCCATTTTGTTTTTAAATCCATGTGATTGGATCTGCTCAGTAGTGACTTTGGATAATTGAACTCTCGATGGCGAGGACCCTTCAGTAAGAAAGATAGAGTGTTCTGGGTTGATTCCTTATTATATTTTTTTCAGTTATTACTGTACCCTGGTTTAGAGTATAGGAAAAGTTGTTCATGATATTTAGCAGTATGATTACCAGGAAAATTTGTCTATGAGTATTAAGAGTATTGTTTGTTTTTTTATCTTCTAGAGTGGAACTAATTACTATATGCTATTAACCTTGACATAGGCCAAGAACATTTCTAAGCTTTCAGAATCAGATCTTTGCATTACACATTTTCCAAAAGCTTAACTATTCTTTTTATAGTAATCAGATAAGTGAAGTTTAGTGTGGTCAGTCTCATTCCTAAGTGGCTTGTGGAAAAGATTCCTTTTGGTATCAACATGAGCTCCATAGGAAGTGAGAAATGTTACAATACTTGAAAGAACTTGTTACCTGATTTTTAAATCACTTTTAGAATATTTTACCAACTATTTAGAAACATAGGATAATTACAAAGTGACTATTTTGACTTCCATCAAAATAACAGCTAAGTGTATAGATAGACTCAACACACTGAGCTGTTTCAAGGCAGTGGGGAAGTGAACACATCTTGTCCATGGCTAGCCTCAAGCACCAGACTGGAGCTGAAATTCTGGACATTTCTGGTTTATTGGATGGGTATCTGTATGCATACCAAGGATTAAGATGATATTATTTAATTGTCCCAAAATGAAAGCTACTTAGTTCAGTTGAGGGGGTGGTGATTCTCATTGTTTGACAAATTTTATAGACTTTTATTTAGTTCTTCTAACTCTATTCCAAGAATTTTCATTCTTTTCAGACAAAGACCACAAGACCTAAGAGAGGACTGGAAGTTGGGTTTGAATACAGCCTAGGCACACTTGCAGAATGCAGAACATGTATTTCTATATGTAAGGTTATTCTTTCAATTTTCATAGATGTAGAAATATTCTAGATAGTATTAAGTATTGTATGAAAAAGGTAAAATAAGATAATTTTTGTACTTTAGAATGAATAGTGCAAGAAATTAAAAATTGGAATTAATGTAAATATTGAAAAATGAACACCAACTATAGACACAAAAAAGATTATTAGTGTGTAGGGTTGGTTGGGTATAGAGGAGGGATGAATAGGTGGAGGCCAGAGGACTTTTAGGGTAGTGAAGCTGTTTCATAGGATACTAAAATGATGGGCTCATGACATTGTGCATTTGTTAAAGCCTATAGAACCATACAACACAATGAATCCTAACCATAGACTTTTGTTAACAATAATGTATCAATATTGGCTTATCAGTTCTAAGAAATATACCCCATTAATGCAAGATGTTAAACAGGAAACAACAGTGAAGGGATGGAATGGTTTTGGGGAACTCTGTACTTTTTGCTTACTTTTTCTGTAAACCCAAAACTACTTTAAAAATAAAATTTATTATTTAAAAATATAATTGATTAAAATTTATTTATTTTTTAGACAGAGGGGAAGGGAGGGAGAGAGAGAGGGATACATGAATGTGTGGTTGCCTCTCCCACATCCCCTACTGGCAACAAGCCCCGCAACCCAGGCATGTGCCCTGACTGGAAATTGAACTGGTGACTCATCATTTTGCAGTCCAGTGCTCAATCCATTGAGCCATACCAGCCTGGGCAGTTTTATTTATTTTCACTTATTCTTTTTTATCATTTGCAATTGCCCCTGAAATTCGGCAGGTTGAATGAAATCTTAACTTTTTAAAAATGTTAAATGAGAAACATTTACATTTGGCAATATGAAGAACTACATATCCTGCCTGAAATACTCCTACATGAAAATATCAAAACTACTCTTCTGAGTTTATGAATGACTTCTAAAAAGATGAAAGAACATGAGCAAATTCTAGCCTTGTGGCTAGAGCTTGAATATTATAGACTACTACATACAGGAAAGAGACTCAAAGTCTTGTGTCCATGAAGGGGAGGGTTTTGATTGGAGACCAGAAGGAAGAAGGAATGTCAAAGGGCCAAATCTAAGGAAAAGGATGAATAGGAGGAAAGGAAATACTGCCAAATAAAACAATAAATCTATCTGAGATATGGCTATCAATAAAATTTCAAAGGAAATTTTAGAAAGGAAAAAAAAAGTTAATTTCTTTCCCATAAGATTTTGTTATCAAATTTTGGGACCCACATTTGCAATTAACAAATAGCCCTTCAATCTAACAATTTAAAATTGATTCTAGTTGGTAGTGTCCCAGTCATCCAGCAGAGGCAAACAAAATCACACTCATCCGAGGTTTCAAAAATAAGTATCACATTCAACTCAGGCTTCAAATACTTCTCACATATTAAGTTCCAATGAATATGAGCTAAAAAAATTCAAGAAACACAGGAAAGTTAAGATATCATGATGGTTAATCAGAAGAAACAACAAACACTAAAACTAAATGATAAGGACTTCAAATAGCAGATACAGAATATAAAATAATTACATCTAAAGGAAGAAACAAAAACATAAGACTGAGAAACTATGAAAATGACTAGGAAGATATAAAATGTAACCAAGTGGAACATCTAGAATTGAACAATATAATCACTGAAATGAAAATATCAGTAAAAGTGATAAACAGACACATCTGGAGAACAAGTCTGGATAATAGATCTAAATCAAAAGAATACATAATGCGGGACAGAGAGGTACATAGAAAATATGAAAGAAAACTTAAAGACATTGAGGATATAATGACAATGAACATGTATATCTAATTAGAGGTTCAAATAAGAAAATGGAGACAATTAAAACTTTATTTCAATAAATTTGAACACTTAAATAAAAATATATTTCTTTGCAACTATAACTTTAGAAGATATTGAAAGCATGAGTAGTCCTATAATCCCTAAAGAAATTCTATCAATAGTTTAAAATCTTTCTCAAAGAAAATGCAAGACTCAAATGGTTTTCCAGAGGATTTCTACACACCATTCTAGAGTCAGACAATGGGAAAAGATCTCAACCATGTCAAAAGTCATTATGATCAATACAAGAATGGGAAATATTAGAGTAAGCCTGTTCGTGAACATAGATGAAAAAAAAACCCTAAACAAAACATTAGTGAAACAAATCCAGCTGTGTATAAAAAGGGTAATACATCACAAGCAAACATTTTAATCCATAAATTCAATATGGGTTAATAATTAGAAATAGTAATGTTAACTCACACTATAGAATTATAGGAGAAAACCCATCTTTTGGTGTAAAGAGGCCATTTAATTAAATCCAACATCTATTCATAATAAAATCTAATTCCAAGCATGGAAATAGAAAGGTCCCTACTTATACTAAACAAGAACCCTGTAACAGGCCATTATTCACCTACTCCCTTGGCCAATCACTCCAAATGTTGTGAAGGTTGTATCTAAACTGGAATTCTTACATACCTGTAAAAGTCTAATGTGATAGTAATTTGAGGTGATACATAGAAAATTTCCTTTATAATGAAGATAAAGGCAGATAACAGAGACAGGAAACAAATGTCAAGTGGATGGCATTATTTACCTTATTAACATTGGTCATATACTAATTTTTTTGTTCCAGGTACATATAGAATGTTTTGTGAATGTTCTATGCCATGCTTAGAGCCATATTGACTGGTGCAAATCTTGGTTTTGATACTTCTTACCTATTAGGGTCTTGAGTTTTGGTTCCCTCATTTGTAAATAAAGATACTAGGACCTCATTTTTCAAGTTATTGTGAGTATTAAATGAGTTAACACATGGAAAATGCTGAGAAAGGACATGCAAAAAATAAAATGCTCTATCACTATTATACTCTACAGATGTTCTCTCTTGATTTAATACTTTGAAATTTTTTTTGTATTTTGGTAGGCTTTGGTCATTTGACGAAGCAATTGATGACATTGGCTGATGGACGTGTGGTGTTGGCTCTAGAAGGAGGACATGATCTCACAGCCATCTGTGATGCATCAGAAGCTTGTGTAAATGCCCTTCTTGGAAATGAGGTAAAAAAAAAAAACACTAACTAAAAGTACAAGAGAGCAAGGGTCAAGGACAAGGAATGTATGCATGCATATTTTTGTCTTTTTTAAAAAAACAATTCCATGTACTCAGCACAATGTTGCTCTTACAATTCTAAGAAAGAAGATAAGCCTTAGGTAAGGGGAGTTTACATATTCTCATGTGATATGCAGTAACTTTTGCCCCATCATAGGATCTACATTGCACCCTCCACAATCAACTTATTGGCAGAACTCAATAAATAAGATAACCCTTGGGAAGAGAAATGCTTTGCATATTGACCTCACTAATGAACATTGAAAAAGAGATAGCTCAAAGATATCTCTTGACATTTTCAGTAGGATTATGTTACTTCATAGGGGAAAAAGCTTTTTTTTAAAAAAAAAAAAAGTTTAGCTTTATTAAGGTATAATTGACAAAATTGTAATGTATTTAAAGTGTACAATATACATTATGAAATGATTTTTACCATTATGTTAATTTCACACATTCATCATCTCATGTAGTTGCTTTTGGTTTTTGTTTTGTTTTTTTTTTCCTTTTGGTGAGTAGTTTCGTTCTACTCTCTTAGCAAATTTCCATTATACAATACAGTATTATCAACTATAGTTACCATGTTCTACATCAGATCCTCAAACTTATTTATCTTACAACTAAATGTTTAAAACATTTTTACCAAACTTTTCCCATCTTCACCTACCACTACCACCACACCCATACCCTTTCCCCTTCCCCCTCTCCCCTGGTGACCAACATTCTACTCTTTGTTTCTCTGAGTTTGATTTTTTTTTTGGTTTCTCATAAGTGACACCATGTAGTACTTTTTATTTGTTCTTTCTCTATCTGGCTTTTTTCACTTAGCATAATGCCTTCCAAGATGTTGCAAATGACAAGATTTTATCCATGTTGTTATAAATGACAAGATTTCCTTCTTTTTTAAGGCTGAATAATATTCACATATCTATATCTACATATATCTACATATATCTACACACACTACATATCTACATATATCTAAATATCTATATATATCTAAATATCTACATATCTACACATCTACATATCAACACGTAGACATATCATGTTTTCTTTATTCATTCATCTGTCAGTGGACACTTATGTTGTGGTGATTTTATTTCCTTTCAATATTACCCAGAAGTGGGATTGCTGGGTCATACAGCAGTTCTATTTTTAATATTTTGAAGAACCTCCTACTGTTTTCCATAGTGGCTGTACTCAGTATACTGTCCCATGAACAATATACAAATGTTCCTTTTTTCCACATTCTCACCAACATTTATTTCTTTTCTTTTTGGTAATGCACACCCTAACAATGTGTGAGAGAATGGCTAATTGTGGTTTTGACTCGCATTTCCTGATGATAATTGATGTTGAGCGTCTTTTTATGTGCTATTGGGCATTTGTAAGTCTTCTTTGGAAAATCATCTACTTGGATTTTGAATTCAGAACCCTTTTCCCATTTTTAACTGGTTTATTTATTTATTTATTTAGGCAATAAGTTGTATGAGTTCCTGATATGCTTTAGATATTAACCCCTTATTGGATACATGGTTTACAAATATTTTCTCCCATTCCATAGCTGCCTTTTCATTTTGAGGATTTCCTTTGCTGTGTAGAACCTTTTTGTTTGATGTGGTCCCACTTATTTATTTTTGCTTTTGTGGCCTTTGCTTTTGGTATCTAATCCAAAAAACCATAGTCAAGACCAAAGTCAAGGAGCTTACCTGCTGTGTTTTCTTCTAAGAGTCTTATGATTTCAAGTCTTACATTTACATTTTAATCAGTTTGGAATTTATTTTTCTGTATAATGTAACAAAGGGGTCCACTTTCATTCTATTGCATATGGCTAACTAGTTTCATCAACACCATTTATTGAAAAGACTGCCTTTTGCCACTATATATTCCTGGTTCCTTTGTTGAAGAGCAATTGACCATATATGCATGGATTTATTTCTTGGTTCTCTTTTCTGTTCCATTAATCTATTTGTCTGTTTTTAATGCCCACATCACACTGTGTTGACTATCGTAGTGTAGTTTTAGATCAGGAAGAGTGATATCTCAAGCATTATTCTTCTTTCTCAAGACTGCTCTGGCTATTTGGGGTCTGTTGTGGCTGCATATAAATTTCAGGATTTTTTTTCTATTTCTCTGAAAAATGCCTTTTGATAGGGATTACATTGAATCTATAGATCACTTTGGATGCTATGAATGTTTTAAAATATTAAGTCTTCTGAGCCATGAACATGAAATATTTTCCATTTAAAGTGGTAGAATTTACTAGTAAAGCCATATGATTCTGGATTTTCCTTTGTTAGGAGGTCTATGATTACTGATTCAGTTTCCTTATTGGTATGTTCAGATTTTCTAAATTTTCTGATTCAGTTGCATAGTTTTGATGTTTCTAAGAATTTATCCACTTCTTTTATATTATCTAACATGTTAGCATTTAATTCTTCATAGCCATTTTATTATCATTTGTAATTCTCTGCTATCAGTTGTCATGCCCTCTTTCATTTTTTTTTATTAATAAAATCAATTAATAAAATTGAGGCTTCTCCTTTTTTTCTTATTCTTGGTAAGGTTTGTCAGTTTTGTTTTTTCTTTTATAAAACCACTTCTAAGTTTCATAGATTTTTTAATTGTGTTTTTAGTTTCTATTTTCTTCTTCCTACTCTGACCTTTATTTATTTCCTTCTGCTACCTTGGGCTTAGTTTAGTCTTCTTTGTGTAATTTCCTGAGGTATAAAATTAGGTTGTTTATATAAGATCTTCCCTTTTTTAATTGATTAATTTTCCAATTATAGTTGACATACAGTTTCAGGTGTACAACACAGTGATTAGAAATTTATTCAGCTTAGAAAATGATCACACTGTTTAGTACCCATCTGACACCATACATAGTTATTATGTTATTACTATATTCCTTTGCTGTTCCGTACATCCCCATGACTCTTTTTATAACTGACAGTTTGTACTTCTAATCCCTTTCACCTTTTTTATCCATCCCCCCAAACCCCTTCCCATCCCGTGACCATCAATTTGTTCTCTATGTCTATGAGTTTTGTTTCTTAATGTAGGCATTTATCACCATCAACTTCCCTCCAAGAACTGCTTTTGCTGCATCCCATAAATTGTGGTGTGGTGTGTTTCCATTTTTATTTACCTCAATATTTTTTTTGTTTGTTTTGGTTTCTTATTTGGCCCATTGGTTGTTTAGGAGCATACTATTAAATTACCATGTATTTGTAATTTTTTAAGTATTCTTCTTGTAATTGATTTCTAGTTTCATGCCATTGTAGTTGGAAAAAAATGCCTGGGATGATTTTAATCTTTCTAAATTTGCTAAGACTGGTTTTGTGGCCTCACACATGATCTATCCTGGAGAATGTTCTATGTGTGCTGGAGAAGAATGTACATTCTGTTGGCACTGGGTGGAATGCTCTGATGTGTCTGTTAGCTTCTTATACTCTAACGTATAGTTTAAGCCCAGTGTTTCCTCGTAGCTTTTATGTCTAGATGATCTATCAGTTGTTGAAAATTGGTTATTAATGCCCCCTACTACTACTGTAATTTTTTTCTATTTCTCCCTTTAGATGTGTTAATATTTGCTTTGCAAATTAAAGTATTCTTACGTTAGACACAGTTACAGTTCTTCTACCTGCTTGATAAATTGACCATATTATCATTATATAATGACTTTCTTTATCTCTAATTATAGTTTTCAACTTAAAGTTCATTTTTTCTCATATACCTAACTCTGCTTTCCTCTGGGTTCCATTGGCATGGTATATCTTTTCCATCACTTTACTTTCAGCCTGTGTGTCCTTAAAACTGAAGTGATTCTCTTAAAAGGCAGCACACAGTTTTATCCATTCAGTCACTCTATGTCTTTTGATTGGAAAATTTAGTCCATATTCATTTAAAGTAGTGATTAATATATATGGGCTTAGTATTGTCATCTTGCTGTTTTCTGGCTGTTTCATAGTTCTTTACTTCCTCTCTTGGTATTGATTATTTTTCCATACTGGTATGTTTGATTCTCATTTTTTTACCTTTTGCTTACCTACTGTCAGTTTTTGTTTTGTGGTTACCATGATGCTTGCAGAAAGCATTGTCTAGTTATTATAGTGTATTTTAAGCTGATAACATCTTAACTTCTAATGCAAACAAAAGCTCTACATTTTTACACTGCCTTCCCTCAATTTATATTTTTGAAGTCACAAATAAAATCTTTTTTTATATTGTGTGCCCATTATTATAGTTATAGTTATTTTAATACTTTCATCTTTTAACCTTTACACTAGAGTTAAAAGTTATTTACCACAATTACAATATCAGAGTATTCTGAATTTAAATATGCACTTACCTTTTCCAGTGAGTTTTATATTCTTATAAGTTTTCATATTACTAGTTACCATCCTTTCATTTCAACTTGAAGAATTCCTCTTCACATTTCTTTTAACATCAAACTAGTGGTGCAGAATTCTTCAGCTTTTGTTTGTTTACAAAACTATTCTTCTTAAGGACAACTTTACTGGGTAAAGTATTCTTGGTTGGAAGTTTTTTCTCACTGCACTTTAAATATCTCATCCCATTTCCTACTGGTATGCAGTTTCTGCTGAAAAATGTATTCATAATCTTATTTTTTCTCTTAAATGTAGCAAGTTGCTTTTCTTTTGTTGCTTTAAAGATCTTCTCTTTATCTTTAACTTTTTACAATTAAATTATAATGTGCCTGGTGTGACTCTTTAGTGCCATCTTAATTGGTGTCTTTGGGTTTCCTGGGTTTGAATGTCTGTTTCTTTTCCCAAATTAGGATAATTTTCAGCCATTATTTTCTCAAATAAGCTTTTGGCCTTTTTCCTTCTCTTTTCTTCTTTAACCCCTATAATGTATATGTTGGTTGGCTTTATGGTGTCCTGTAAGTCCTTTAAGTTACCTTCATTGTTTTTTCATATATTTT